TACCCATGGCCCTCAGACACCTTTGTGGTTTTTCTGTTCTTAGTGTCTGACATATTGTGAAGACTGTGGCAGCCCACCAGTGTGCTATTTGTACAGCCCGATGCCAAGGTCATGCAGACATTGTCTTGCAGGGCCTGGCATGAGAGTGTATAAAACCAATGGAAACAAGCCTGGCTTGTTCTTGTCCATATTGCCTCTTAGGAGTGGTTCCTGCAGTGAATTATCCTGAGAATTTTGTAGAGATTCATTCCAGGAGGAAACAGTTCAAGTCAAAAAAAGCTAAGCATGAACTAACATGTGCAATTCAAAGGGTCAAGAGTGATGGATCCAAAAGCCACCGGGGGAGCTAAGACAGTTGACAGTGTAGACCTAGTCTTAGACAGCTATGGCGATGAGCAGCTGAAGAACAGAGCTGCCATATTTCTGTCTGGGATTTTGCATGTGGAGACAGACACTTCTAAGGAATGTCAGAGGTATGGTGTATGTGCTGCTTGTACAGCCTGAGCATAGACAATAAATATCAAACTGTCTATGTACAATATCTTACTGCCTTTGCATGAACTAGCTCCACAATTATCAACTTTTGTACACACATATTGTGTATCTGATGCATAGATAACAATAACTACATAAGTAATGGGTTAAAAATAGCGAAAAAAAGTAATCAGTTTTCTCAGGAAAGTAATAAGCAAAGTCCTGGCATTGTTTGTACTCAACACATTCATTAATGATCCCCAGTAATGCCATGACAAACCCTTCTGATTATGCTAAACTATTCAGGGTAGTAAATCTGAAGAAAGTGGGAGTAACTGCAGAAGAATCTCAGGATACAAGCTGACAAGGCAATAAAATACTAGATAAAATTCAATGTAGGTGATTATTGTAAAAAGTGGTGCACACAGGGAAAGTAATGTTAGGTTTATAAACATGGAATGTGTTACAGAATGGCTTATGGCCCAGCTATCACTTCTTAGTCTTATAATAGATAGCAAAACAAAAATTAGGAATGTACAGGGCAGGAGCAGGGAACATTTAGGAAATGGAAAATATAGCAATGAAGTTTAAATCCATCTGAGCTTGCATTCTGAACACACGTGCTACCCTAGTGTCTCATCTCATAAAAGATCGAGTAGAACTGGAAAAGCTACAGGAAAGGGTGATATGCATGATCAGAATTAAGAATTAAGTCTTGTTTGAGGAATAACCAAAACTTAGGGCTTCTTAGGGTGGAACAGAAATGGCTGGAGGAGGGGGAATCTATAAAATTGTAGGCAACCTTGAGAAAGTGAAGAAGGAAAAACTATGCACTGAATCTCAAATTAAATTGGCCAGATGTTTAAAACAAAAGAAGGTATATTTTCACATTTGTTAGACTAGAGCAGTCATTGGTGGGATTTCAGTTTATATGAACTGAAAAGCAATCAGAACAACTAATTCCAAAAATGGGTTCCTGAGACAAGTAAATAGGTACCATCATTAGTCTCTGAATTGCATACTGATGGACACTAGGAAAGTATAATAAGCAGTTAACACTATATGTTTGTTCTTCTCTTCAGGCTTCTGCTACTGCTGCTGTCAGAGACAGGAAACCAGACTGACCCTTAGTCTGAAGCAGTGGAGCTGCGCTTTTTAATTCTTACATTTACATCCCCTTATAAAGAGAAACGGAAGAAAGCAGAGAAACAGCCAACAAAACATGAATATAGTGTGTGAAATGCAAAAATCTTTCCACTTCATCCAGCTCTTGGAAGGTTTCATCTGGGCTTTACACTCATTTCAAGATCTGTCAAAAGAGGGCAACCAGCATGGCCATAGGTCTAGAAAATATGATTTGCAATAGAAAACTAAATAAATTGATTCTGTTTATCTTAAGAAGAGGAGATTTTGGGAAGACAAAGCATATCAGTAACTTTCAATTAGTTAAAACATATCTGGAAAGAGGAGGGGAATATTCTATGCAAGAGGCAACAGAAATAATTGGCTCACCAGCACAGAAGAGTAAGAGACGACATTAAGAACAATAAGACTTTAATAAGGGTGGTAAAAACCTCTCTGTATTCATTAAAGATGCTTTGGAGTGCGTGCAGTCTTTAAGAGCAGGTGATAAAAGTGTCCAGAAGAGTTGATAATAGCTATCATCTCTAGGTACACTGTGGGACAAGGGGATGCACTACATGATCTATTGGGATTTCTTCCAAGCTTACAAAGCTGTGTTCCACACACAAGAATTCAATCAAATGTTTGTGAAAATGTTGGACTTACTATGCTACAGAGCAGTATTCTGTACAGTATTTGCATAGGAAGTCAAAAATTTCCAGAAATGTACAGACTTACAGTGTGCATGGTGTGCAGTAGATGTCCTGAAATAGTCAGGACTTTTGGTTACACAGAAACCAGTCAGAACTACTGTATGATACTTCTGATCAATGCATTGGAATCCCAGAAAAAAATGTAAAGAATCATTAAAAGGCCCTGGAAGCAGAAGAGGTCAGTTCAGATACGTGGTAACTCTAGGTGACACTAGGTGTGTGATCATTTAGATTTTGCTACCCAAAACTGCGAGACCATAAATTGTCCTACAAGATGTACAAATGTGTGGGACTCCTTTCACAAATCAGACTGACAGACCGTAAGTATTCTACAAAGCAAAGCATGAAGACAACAGAACCACTTCTGAAAATTTGACTTTTAATGTCCATGTTTCTGTGCCCACCTCTAGTGAATTATTTTCTTTCTATTCATAATTTTCCTGATGCCTCTTTTTCCTCTCAAGCCCACACTGTAATGTCCTCCTCTGTCCTTGTGGTAGACACTAACAAAACAACTTGATAGAAAAAAAGTAAGTTGAAACATACGACTAAGAATCACAGTGGCTGCTTTTAAACTGTCAGTCTATTTATTTACTTTATTTATTTTGCTGTTTTGAAATCCGTGTGTGCCAAGACCACGCTCTGGGAGCTCCTTGCTGTGTATAAACTAACACAATAATCAACAACTACAAGACACTGCTAAATCTATTGTCATGCATCTGCACAATCATAATTCACTTCCATACAACTACAAAGCAATTGGACTGCCTGACCCCACTCAGTCCCACCAGTTGCATTGTCAGCTGCCTATGAAAAAATGAAAGCCCTCAGAGAAAGCAGAAGATAATAAACCAGTCTTTGGTAGGAAAGATCGAAGAAATTTTTGTATCAGGATATAAATTATATGGCTAATATTTCCTTTGTTATGACAACAGAGTAACGTCAATATATTACTGACACTATTTGCTGGTGATATTTAATTTCCATGTCCCATATGTTTCATGTACATACTGAGCAACAGCTAGTGCTCTGTAAAATATTTAATAAGACAGAGATGATGAAATTCCAGTTGGCAAACTGCCTTCTCCATTCTCTAGTATCAAAGTGGAACAGTTCTGGTGCAAGGAGTTCTAGCAGCTTGCCCGAAGGATCTCAAAGCTGTCAGTTCCACTGCTGCAAATGTCAGCCGACAAGACACAGTGCCCACTGACCTCAGCAATCATGCAGACTTTTCTAATTGATCTTAACTCTTTAAATATCAATCTCTGACTTTCAGTGTAAGAATTCCAGTGCTGTGGGGTACATAAAAAGAAGATCTGTGGCCACATTCCCAAATCAAGGCAGACTACCCACAATCAGGAAGACTGGAAGTTTCCACATGCTGACCTAAGTTTATGCCAGACTGATCCTTCTTCCTCAAATCTCATTTCAACAGGAGATGCCAGATGAATCGATAAGTGACAAGACTGGCACAGTTCTCAGCTGGTTCACCATTATTTGCTTAAAAACATTGTAATTCCAGTGCTCAGAAATAGAAAGATTTTAATGAGTAGTATGCTCTAATTTATGAAGCTTCATAAGTTTTTCTTAGCTAATGTATAACACATAGAGCCAGTGATCAGTACTGTCCTGAAATATACTGCAATTATCAGCCATACTTCAGCAATTCCTTATTTCTGTGCTGCTTCTGACAAAGAATACATAACCATCAAAACTGACAAAAAATATTTTTGCGATCTGTGGCCTATGGTTGATCAAATCTACCATTTTTCTTAGCATAGAACTAATAATTTGTCACTGCTAAGTTTGCTTGCCTATTATCTCATAAAAGCTATATGTTTTTTTACACGAAAACTCCAAGCTATTCATTAACAAACCTGAATGAAAATTTCCAGCAGATGCAAAAATTATTAGGAGACAACTTGCAAGAATACTTATACCTGACTTCTTCAAGAAACCTGACTTACCTCTTAGTAACAAGTGGGCTATAGCAAATCACTGGTAGATTTGTTACAGGACCGCCCTATAATGTCTTCCTGCTCTGCCCTCAAAAATATTTTTTATCGTGTACATTAAAGAAAGGCTATTATCCGTTTACTGTTAACAGACGTGCCCCTGAATGCCATTTCCCCTTTATGTACATATTAGTATACATAATATCTGGCAACAGTGTGACCCTCATTCCAGGATCGTTAGGTATCAGAGCCAGTGAGATCAGTCTGAGAAGCCAGTAAACACCATTGATTCAGGACACAGTGCTTTATTGTAGTGTCCTAGCAGAATAACAGCAAAGCTTGAAACAGGACTCTCCTATCTAATCTCTATTTCAGTATTTTATTCAGTGAGGTTACAATATTTAATAGGACCAACCTTTCCTAATTATCTTAAATGATTTGAATATTAATCCCTGATTTCCAGCTTAACAATTCCAGTGTTGTGGGATATAGAAAAGATTTTTAGATGCCTTTTCTATTCATACAATAATTTAGGTTGGAAAAGGCCTTTGGAAATCATCTGGTCCAAACTCCAGCGGTCACATTCAAAGTGTTGTTAAGTTGTTCTACATCTTCTTTTTGGTATCTACGTTATCTCTGATGTGGCTGTCCTGGAAAAGACTTAAGTGGCTTCCATGACTGAGGATCCTTAGAATCCATCTCTATCAATCATCTCTTCCAAAACTGGATCTGCCATATGCAAACTGAAACCTCAGTGGAAGTCACTGGAGTAGAACTGGCATCAGATTCAGAATCTGGTCCTGATTCCACTGTAAATGAATTAGAAGCATTAAACTCAGAGAAGATCACCGACTTTGAGAAGAAGGTGGCTATGGGGCATGGTAAAACATATGCAAGAAAACAGTGACAGCTGATTCTGATTTCTCTTCCAACATGTGGATTATGTTACATCCACCCAAGCGCTAAGCTTTCATCTCAAACAGTTGTGAAGGTGAAGGCTTCTGGGGGTCTCATTGTCTAATTATGCCTGACTTAGAATTCACTTAACTTAGACTAACACAGATAGGAAGTCAAGTTCTGTTAGCTGTTCCACCTTTCACCTTACCACACATCTGGGAAATATTCAGATCAAGATCATAACCTTGCATTTTGGCATTAGCTACCTAAAAAAAACATTAAGATATCACCAACAATTTGCCTTTGACTGGGAAAATTAGAAGCATATTTGAGATGTAAACATGGTTGTGGCACTAATATTGCTGGTAATGATTAAAGGCTGCTACTTTAACTGTAATGGAATAAACCAAAACTGACAGTCTTAGTCCATGCCCATTTTCAGTTTAAACAAGATAAGGAAATCCCAGTGGTATATCATATTCTGAATGAGGGGGAAAGCTGGGAATATTTAGAGATGACTATTTTCTATGAGGTCTACAAATGGAAAGCAGTATGTGTAAAGTACTGTAACAAATTTGTGGTTACAAAGCAGAAGCGAGGATAGGACCCAGCTCTTCCTCCTGTAACAGGCCTCTTTGCCACTTGAACTTAGGAAGAATTGTCTTTAATTGTAAACAGGCTAGACCTATGCATATCCTAGAGTCAATACAGTAGAGGGCAGCATTCAATAGCCAATTTATTTCATATTCATTAGCCAATTTATTAGATTATTATCACTATCATTATTGTTTTACTTCAAGAAAAAAATCAGAAATCAGAAGCTGGGAACATAGCAGTTTGAGGGGAAGAGCAGCTGGGGCTATCCATGTGCAGGAACGGACAGATCCAAACTCCCGTTCCCCTCCTGTTTCCAATTCAAACTTCAGAACTCAGCTCTAAAGTTGGGCTATGTTAGGAAGGGTTTGCTGTTACAATCATACTGGCACACCTTACTCAGTTCTAGGATTATTTCTGTGTTGAGGTTTCTGCTCCTTTAAAAAAAAACAACCAAAAAACAATGACTGCCTAATGTAAAATACTCAGAGACGTGGCAGAGATCAAATTGTAGAAGCTGAAGCTAGGAAAATTCATTAAGAATGAATGCACAATATCTTAATGAAAAAATTTGATCAGGGTTTTGTACCAGATATCAAAGGAAAAATTAAGATTCCCTGTATATTGATGTGTCTAAACCAAGACTAATGCTTCTCTGGGATATACTTCCAAATATTAGTTATGCTTAAAGTGGAAGTTACTATTTTCTTTGCAATGTTAACTGTAGGAAATGAGATAGGCTACAACACATAAGCAGTCAGACTAGATGCTATGGAACTTTCAATACAATCAAGAACTCTAGGAATTGCTGTATATTAGCAATATTTTCTCTATTGATTTATTTTTTCTTTTTCTTCCAAGTTGTATTTTTAGGCTAGACTTTTTGTAAAAAAATGAGATTTCCCTCCAGAAACAAGTGTTTCCTACTGTACCAAATTTTCACTTCAATAAGCAGCAAAATAGTAATCCTGTCAATTTGTGAAGCTGTATATGCTGCTAAAGATGGTGAAATGAGATACAGCACACGCTTACAACGGCATCTGTCTTGCATGTTTAGTTTCTTAAGCCTTTGATGTGTTTCATATATCAGTAGAGCCTTTTCCTCATCTTCCCCATTGCAGTGCAAGTTCAAAGAAAATTATAAAAAGGTTGAATTGTAACAAAAGCTGTCTAGCAGCTCTGAACTGCCACATACAGTTTTAGCACTTATAAGAAATGATATATTATCTGAGCTAACATTTTTTGTTTGTTGGTGACCATTTGTCTACCACAGGAAAAATAAATGAGGGTGGTGGAAATAAACTATAGATGCTTGGAGACATCAGGAGTATACAGGCTGTACACTGGCTATAGGATTTATTTTGAAAAATTCAGTTCTATAAATGAAATGTAACAAACCAGTATAGCCAGAAGAAAGCAGAAAACTTTAAGCATGCAAAAATTTGGTTCAAGATAAAAATAATTATTCTACCTACTACTGGACTTGAATATCATTGCTCCTCACAAAAGCGATATACATAACTTATGTATGGAGAAACTACTACGTGTAGGTAACACTCTAGGAAAGGTAGAAATGCAAAAATTTGAAGCTGCTGTTGAATATCACCCCACAAAAGGAGGTGGAAGGGCCTAGGGAGAATATAATTTGCAAAATCCAAGAGGGAAGGCATTTTCATAGTCTCCTTCCCCAAGTGTACACATTTTTAAGTTAATTAAGTTAATCGATAGCTTATTAGATTTATCTATATAATTTTATTTATCTAGTCAGTATATGCTTTGATTTTAATATCAATTTTTAATATGTTTGCTCCTTTGAGATACATAGAAAGCGTGCCTAACTCTGCCATCTTTGCTCCTTAAGATTCTCCTCCATTTTCCCTCTGTAGCTTTGCCTGAAACCACAGGATAAATCAATACGGTAAACAAAGCAGCACATATACAATTACTTCTGGTACACAAGGCTAAAATAGTGAATATTGACTTACACTTGAATTAATGTAGCTTTGGCATTCATTTCCTTCAAACAAGCATTAATTTCAAATACAGTTTTTTGAACATCTGTGACAATAAAATTCCAAGTAATACATATGTATGATGTGCAGAAACAACATGTATAATTGTACTTGTAGGTGCTGAAGGTAGGATTTTGCCTGCTAGAGACAAATGAAAATACCACAGTGTAAACTCAAAACAGCTCTTCTGAAATCCTTGGACTTCATTAGTATTTGTGACTGGAGAAACTTGGGTAACATCACTCACCAGAACAATTAAAACAGAACTACAGAGGTTTTGCAACAATTGAGGCAGTACAGAGAATTTTTTAAAAGGAAACGTGATTTGTCTGCTTGCTCAGACACGTCAGCATCTAAGAGAACAGCCCTGCCTGTGTGACAAACTCCCATGCAGGCTAGGGGCCTGCACGGATTTATTTCAATAATTCAATTTGAATGTAACGCCTTTAGAGGCATTGCACTGTATTTGATAAAAGATAAAGCTCAAACAAATAATACATTTAGTGCCATCATATTTTTCAGAGGAACCGTCTCCTATTTTGTACTTGTACTGTGTTTAGCATAATGGGATTAGCGCCATGGATTTCTAGGTGCTCGGCATGCAATGTGTTAGCTCTGTAGAGTGATTCAACCCAGTGGCTTGGGTGCTGCTGATATTCAGGCTAGCTAGTTAAAAGCTAGTTGGAACAGCTCTGTAATTCCATGGTGAGGAAATACATTGTCTCTTCTCCAGAATAAAGCTCGCCTTTTCTATTCGACTCATTCTGATTCTCTGTGCTTAGCCATTCTCCTGCATGAGATGCAAACTTTTTGTGGGCCGTTGGTCTCCAAACGACCAATGATGTTTCCATTTTTGTTCCCATCTTATCATGTCTTCAGGTGGTATTTATAAACTGATGTTTGGTTGTAAAGGCTAAATTGCCATGAACAGTTTTATATGTTCCTTTACATAAAAGACACCAGAAAAACAAATGTCTTTAAAGTTCAGCAACGAAACTGAACTGATAGAGGTCATGCCTTTATCGATGCACCTCGAATTACGTACATCAATTTTGTTTGCAACATTAAACTGTATGTAGGAAAGGTTTTTTTTCACACATATATTTTTACATATGTACTAAACACATATGTCATTGTATATATATGTACCTCACTATGTGTCTGACGTAAAATTATAGATCAAACCATATGAATATTAGCTGCTGAAATACTGTTTATGAAGACTTCTTATATATATGAAGGATTTCACAAATAATTTAGAAATTACTCCTAAACTCTGAAGCACATCTAACTGGATGTGAAATCCCTGGTATATTTCCCACCAGAGGCCAAATTGCTGCAGAGCTATCAGGTCGTTCATACTCTCTAATTATATTGAACATGTACGTATAAAGGACATGAGTTAGTAATCAATATTTCTGATACAGAAAATTATGTAGAAAAAGAAAAGTTACAGGATTCTACACCCATGGAAAATGATAGTGACCTCTTGTAAATACTTCATGTAATCCAAGGGCATAGGGTGAATTTGCTTCTCTTAAAATTTGATATATTTCAGCACAGGCATGAGACACCATTCATCTTCCCTTCTCATATTTCTACCCACAAGACAGATGTCAATGTTGCCTAATGGATAGATGTCTTCTAAGCTATTTCCCATCTGGAGGCAGGCAAAACAAAAGAAATGACAGCTAGAACCAGAGGAGGATATCTTTCAGAAAGTACTCCAAGCTTTTCACTAATTATGGGTATCTTTTCAGCTCGGCTGTGTTTTAACAACTTGTAGCAAACATCTCTGAAACACATGATTTGGTTTTGGTGACATAAGACAATGCATGTTTACATTGCTATATCCCTAAAGATAATAATATCTACTAATAATAGTCTAGTTGATGAATATTAAGCTTATTAATGCAGGTGTTTGTGTCTCTCTCCACACCACAGAAATTTTCTTCCAGATGTCCCAATGTATGATTTTTCAGTATATTATAAGTATATTGTAAGTAAGCAGAAACATCATCAAGTGACATAAAAGAGAATAAATAATGAAAACTGAAATTGATAGACTACATTGCAGTGTGTGCTTCAGCACATGGCTGAAGTGTATTCACACAGCGTGCTCACAGACTAACTGCAAATACATCACAAGTGCATCATCAAAAAATTGGTCTGTGCAAGGACACTTCATTAATAAAGAAGAGATTGCAATGAAACATTTGGCTGGCTTTGCAGAAAAGGAATTGTGAAATGTAATTATGAAATGCAGTATCTGAAAATGGGTGCACAAAATGGCTGGAGTTTATAGTTTTTCTTCCTGTGAGCCATGAGCAGGGCTGGCAAACACAGTGGTGACAGCAGTTTTAGTAGAGATGTGTCAG